AAATCTTACAATGCTTCGCAATCGCCTTTCATCTTTGCCGATATCCAACTTGATACCCATCTCTACGATGTAAACGTTAGCCCGGATAAGCGAACTATTCTACTCCATGACCAAACTCGGATGCTTGACAACCTTAGAGAGTCACTCAGTGCCTTGTTTGAATCACAAGACTATGCACTACCGACCGCACAGCTCCAAACCCCAAAGCAAACCCTTCTTAAACGGCCCTCTCTGAGTAGACAAGACACACCCTCATCGGAAGCGACCACCTCAATCGATGCCGTCTCATTCATAGCACCAAACCTCACAGATGCTGAATCGGGATCCGAGGGTGAGACTGTGAAAATGAACCACAATGACGGTGCGCAATCTGCTCACGGTAGCAACTTAATCAGCCGCTGGGCTGCACGTAATTGCGATATACGTGCGGATACTGGTGTGAAAGACAATAAAGTGATGAAAAGTATCGACGAAGAGGGTCCTGTTCAGAGAGAAGACACGCGGAGCCCACCTTCTCCTGGCGTTGAGCAGGAACAGTCACCGCCAAATGAAGATCCAACTAAGGTTTCCGATCGTGTAGCTGATTTCCGAGCACGCCTCGAAGAGTTGAAGGATGGGAAAACTAATGCAACCACGGACAAGTCTACGCTACCCGAAAGTGCTCTATCGGAACCACCGATTCCTGCTCTATCTCCTCTACCTCGTATAACGGATATCAACTCTAATAAAGTTTATTCCTCCTCGACGGCGAAGCGGCGCGCACCAGAAGTTGCTACCATCACAATAGGCGATCATACTGTCACAAGCATCATCGGTTCAACGCCCAAAAAGCAGCGACTTGACAGTCAGCAACACCGCAATCTCCCGACGCGAAAAGGTACTAAAGCATCGGTACCTGTACCTTCTTTTAATGGGCGATTGACCCAAATGTTCGCCGCACAAGCGGAACGGTCCCTGTCTGACGAGAGGAAAATCAAGGTTACTGCAGAAGCGGAAGATGATGCACAAGATTCGGATTCGTCAAGTGAACATTTGTTCGTATCTGACGATTCCGGAGGAGAAAGCGACAACGAAGGCATGGACGATATACCAAGCAGAGGTGGTGATCAAAAGTATTCTTCTCCCCAGGCCTCGCAGGCATCCGAGGCGAACCCTGATGATAACTCGGAGGCCGAGCCAACGTCTCCTGTCGATCGTAGTGATGCTGAATATAAAGATGGAGAAGCCGAAGAGACGAAGGAAGAAAGCGGTGCTTGCAAAAGTATCGAAAATTCCAAGGCTCCCGAGGAAATGATATCAGAGGAATCGCAGAAACGTACCCAGAGTTTCATCAAAGGTAATACCAAGAGGAAAGACGCCACGTATCATCTTCAACAAAACCTACGAGTGGACGGGAAACTCGTTCGAGATGCCTTGACGTTGCAACAAGAGCATATCTCTCGTTCTTTTACCAGCACAAGGGCTATGCTAGAAACTGATCGCCTTGATGCCGAAGATGCTGAAGAAAAGTTATCCTTGACAATATCAAAATCGGACTTTGAGAAGATGAAAATCATAGGGCAATTTAATCTAGGCTTCATCCTAGCCTCCCGTGCAGCCGAAGAAAGTTCGATAGACAGGCTAGACAGGAGTGATAGAGACGACGAGCTATTTATTATTGATCAGCACGCAACAGATGAGAAGTATAACTTCGAACGGCTACAGGCTAGTACCGTCGTACAGTCCCAGAGACTGGTGCATCCCAAGATGCTTGAGCTCACAGCGGTTGAAGAAGACATAGTACAGCAAAACCTCGATGCCCTGGAAACAAACGGATTTATGGTCAGTTTCGACGAGAGTGGTGACCAACCGGTGGGAACGCGGTGTCAGTTGCTTAGTTTGCCACTGAGTCGGGAAACCACTTTCTCCCTCGCGGATCTGGAAGAGCTTATCTCGCTTCTCCAAGATCATCAATCCACATCAGCGAACACGGTCCCACGGCCGTCCAAGGTTCGCAAGATGTTCGCGATGCGCGCTTGTCGAAGCAGCGTCATGATTGGGAAATCCCTGTCGACCAAGCAGATGGAGAAGCTTGTCCGACACATGGGCGAGCTCGACAAGCCGTGGAATTGCCCACATGGACGGCCGACCATGAGGCATCTGTGCGGCTTGGGCGCATGGGATGAATTGGGCTGGAAAGAAGGCGATGGCTTCGATGGAACTAGGGCTTCGCGGACGGATTGGAGTGCTTACCTTGACGAGGGGCGAGATCTGGAATAGGGATAATATCGTACATGTATAGTCTCGTTGTATTGCTTGAAATTGCGCTGGAGAGGAGCACATTTGTCGTATGGATATATACCCCTAGTTAAGTGCTGTAACAGCAGACTCGAAACTTGCTATGAAATATAGTAACTGCTTTTTGCTGGATGGTAACGAAAGCTAGGGATTGTCACATCAAAGCCACGGGACTCTGTGTGCTGCAATCGCAATTTCCCACGATTCCGAACCAAATGCCTCAGTCTATTTTACCATCTGAATCCACTATATCCTCTTCTCACGCGGATTGCGCTGTATCTTCCCCGTATGTCCACACGGAACTTTGAAATTGAGGAGGGGTTACTCCTGCTTTCCCACGAGAGAAAAGCGGACAACTTGGTCCGTTTCTTAGGTACCTACTTTACCGGGCGAGCTTAGAAATCACCGAAGAAACAATATGAAATTACCGGATCGATTCAAAGACTTTGGGTCTTTAGACAGTACATTGTTTGCTGACATAAGAGGTATCACCGCCATATATTCCTTACCCCGCCGGGGTCACCAACTAACCCGGCGTAACCTCCGGTGTTATCGGTAACGGTATTAGGAAAAGCGGTAACCCGACCCCAGATTATGTCCGGTGGCCCGGTTTTCTTAGTCTACCTAGGGTCTACGTATAATCTTTTTGGAGGGGTTTATAAAGAAATAGCAGGAGTTATATATACTTAGAACGATATTTAAGACCTGTGGCAAGCTCGCGTACACCCGTATATGCAAAATCCAACAGTAAGCTGCTAACCTAAATAGACAAATAATGGCCTCCGAGACACTTGGCACCTTAGCCCGATTGGCCTAAACTTTCCGTGCCGCCCTCGATATTATTCAGCTATAAAATATCCGACAATGATATCCCTTACTGGGGTCCGTTAGGACCTTCCGTATCAGCAGTACGTACGGGATCGTACGTTAATGACTCAGATAGACATGCTGTGCGCATGGGTGTGAATTTAAAACTATAAGAGCGAGGAGCTCCCAGCCGGATCATGCTAGATGAATAGCTAGTAGATCAACATCAATATCAATCATACCCTAAGCATACTATAGCTTCAAGTTCCCTCATCTCTGGCTCATCTAACACAACTTCGTTATACCCTTAATTCCTCAACCGTCACCATGGCGTCCAACACCTCCCTCAAGCCCATCACCGTCTGGGGTCACACGATTGGCCCCAACCCCCTCAAAGTCGTGATGGTGCTCGAGGAGCTGGGCCTGCCGTACGACTACAAGAACCTCGAGGTCAAGGAGATGAAGCAGGAGGCGTACCTCGAAGTCAACCCTAACGGCCGCGTCCCCGCAATCCACGACCCCAACACCAACCTCACGCTGTGGGAGTCCGGCGCCATCGTCGAGTATCTCGTCGAGCAGTACGACAAGGACCACAAGATCTCCTACGACACCTTCGCCGAGAAGCACCACATCAAGCAATGGATTGCGTACCAGATTTCCGGTAAGGGCATTTCGATAGGCTTACGTCGCATCGCCCCTCCCCTTTTCTTTGGCATTAAGCAAGCATTGCTTGGTGATCTCGTGACTAACATGGCTGGAACATTAGGCCAAGGTCCGTACTACGGACAGGGCGTGTGGTTCTCATTCTTCCACCCCGAGAAATTGCCCTCGGCCGTCGAGCGCTACTTCAAAGAGGCAGAGCGCGTCCGTTCGGTCCTGGACCTGCACCTGTCCCGCCAGGCCGGGGAGAAGCAGGGCGAGAAGGTGGCGGACAAGGACGTCTGGCTCGTGGGCGACAAGCTGACAGTGGCGGATCTCAGCTGGTTCATATGGGAGCAGATCATCGAATTCGTGACGACCACGGTCGGCGCTGCCATCCCGATGGTTAGTAGTACCTCGCATTCCTTGGGTCCCCGCGCATACTGTACGCCTGCGTGTTGGAGGATTTCGACTTTGCTGACTCTGGGATAGGACAAGTATCCTCACTACGAGGCGTGGTATAAGAAGATCGAGGAGCGCCCTAGCGCGCAGCATGCCATCCAAAGCAGAATTGAAGGTCTGAAACAGCTCCAACTTCCCGCTCACCTAGAGCAGTACAGGCCGTGAATCAGTTGAGCTATTAGAAGCCAGGGGCAACAACCCTACTTACTAACCCATATTGATCAATTGCCCAGTCCAAGAAGGAGGCAATAGGTAGAGCATACAGGTCGAACTGACTCAATCATAGCTGTATATAGTATTTAACTACCTAAGCATATATATCGCATCCCACTCTTGATAAATTAACTGTCTCGATTGTAGTCCTTTGCAGTAATAGGGGTATTAGCCCCTTCGTATACGGGCAGTCGTCACGGCGCTTTGAACTATTCAACTATTTAGGCCACTTCAGCTGCTCCCCAAACACCACAGTCCGACATCGCTAGTTATATGAATTGGAATGGTAACTTTGAGTTCGATGGACACAATTGAAGCCTGTGATATTCAATAAATACGAAGTAATATTTACATATACCCATCTGTTCTGTATAATCGTTAGAGAAAACAAGTTGTCTGGGAGGCCGACTATCTAAATTCCTGCCCCGCCCCCCTCCACGGACGACCCCGCGTTTCAGTCTAGATAAGGCCGGATGCCCCGTTCCAAGAGCGGATGTAAGGATCACGTGCCCCATCCTCCACACCATTCAAGCTTCCGCACAAACAAACAATAATATGATCTTTTAATGCCTCAGCCAATAACTCTTGACCAGTAACTCAATGGGGGTGTAGCTCAGGGGTAGAGCGCTCGCTTTGCATACTGTACTAAGGCGCAGAGCAAAAATTGCGAGAGGCCTAGGGTTCAAATCCCTACTCCTCCAATGGTTGTCTTTTCTTTATTCTTTTTCTTTTTGTTTCTTTTCTGTTTCTTTTTTCCTTTCCTTTTCTTTCCCTATCTTCCTAATCGCCAGGCTAAATAGTGGGGCCGCCTCTTTACTAGAGTACCATTTTCTTTTTTTTAACCCCGCGTTCTTGTTTAATTGCTGAAATGAAGACTTTATTGAAGTCACTGCTATCTTTTGTAAATAGTTATGTACCTAATTAAGCGTCCGCTGAGCATGGCAGGTGTATACAATCAATCAGGTTATTTGTATGTAACTTCATTCATTTCATAACACTTGTCTTGAGAGGCCTAGAGATTTTATAGTGTCCCGGAACATGGTGAAGTGGCATTTCGCATAGGTAGGGATGTTGTCGCAGTCATTAGAGTAGGCTGTGATTAGCCGTCCTGGGGATTACCGGATTGATCAATCGGGTGGCATGCTGCATGCCACGTTGCTCCCACGTTCTCGCGATGAAATGGGAATGGTGATTATGAATGTATGGGACTGATGTTTGCGTTGGCGTTTTGAAGCAACCAATAAAGCACCACGTGTTCGTAAACAAGTGACTGTGAAATGGAATCTCGGAAGAGACTAGTAGTAGTAGTACACCCTCAAAAAAGAACCGACCTACTCTACATAGATAGTCTCCGCTGTAAGTTTGTGCTAATTAGCTATCTATTGGCATCCATATTACTTCGTTTGATGTGATTGACGTGATCTGGTAATCCTACCACTGCTGTACTCGAAATCACAGAGGCTTTCTTAAAGACCCCTCTCTTGCTACATGGACGTGCTATATCCTTGAACAGATCTAGGTTTGTAAGCACATAGTCTAGACTACCAGTTACTAGGTAGAGAAGAAAGTCGTGACTTGGCATACTTACCCTCTTAGAGATCAACACCTTGCTCCCAATACCCTATATCGATTGCCATCGAATTTCAAGTACCATGGCGCCCCACAGTCTACATGATGAGGGTCCCGTCGACCTTGAACAGAAACTGGGCGATATTGAAATCCGGCCGCCATCCCCGCCTCCGATGTCCGCAAAGCCTCCGCGACTGCTCGTCATCGGTGCCGGATCTCGCGGCCGCACATACGCCAGATGCTCTCTCCAATCGAGCAATGGTGTGATCGCCGCAGTTGCCGAGCCCGACGATTACAAACGTGACGATTTTGGGAGTAAGTTCGTATGGGGGAAGAGGACATCGCCCCCGGATGGATCAAGTTTTAAGGGCTGGAAGGAATATGTTACGTGGGAAACGGACCGTCGTCAGCGACAGACGTCGGGCGAACCTGTTCCGGAAGGCATCGATGCCGCCTTTATTTGCGTGCGAGATGAAATGCATCATGATGTGATCATGGCCCTTGCACCACTTGGCCTTCATATCATGTGCGAGAAGCCGCTCGCTACCACGCTTCAGGGTTGCACTAACATATACCGGACGTTGGCACCACTCCAGACTTCCAAAGTATTCTCCATCGGACATGTGATGCGCTATTCACCTCACAACATGATGCTGCGGAAGCTGCTGCTCGAAGAGAACGTCATTGGCGACATACTCAGCGTGCATCACACGGAGCCGGTAGGATTCTGGCACTTTTCGCATAGTTATGTGCGTGGCAATTGGCGAAAGGAGTCTATCACGGCCCCGTCACTGCTCACCAAAAGCTGCCATGACATTGACATCCTTTTATGGCTCATGTGCTCCCCTGCACCTGGATCGGACGCGCCAGAGCATCTACCCACATCTGTCACTTCCACCGGCTCCGTGCAATTTTTTAGAAAGGGCAGGAAACCCAAAGCGGCAGGTAATGCGACCAACTGCCTCAGCTGCCCCGCCGAGAAAGACTGCATGTACTCCAGCAAGCGAGTTTACGTGGGCACGAGACACATAGGAGTCGAGACAGGCAATATCAGGTGGCCTATCAGCATTGTCCTTCCGGACATAGAAAGTTACGGCGCTGATATTGACAAGGCGAAAGGCGCAATGCTATCAGTGCTCGCCGAAGACTACGACGACTCAACACCCCAGGAAGTAATCGACGGTAAGAACTGGTTTGGCCGATGCGTCTTCGAGTCGGACAACGATGTATGCGACGAGCAGGTCGTGACAATGACTTGGGAGGACGACCCGCTACCCCAATCCAGCGCGGCTGCAAAGGACGCCGTGGGTGCCCGAGGTGCTAAGCAGGCGACGTTTCACATGATTGCGCAGACCAAGAAGCAATGCCAAAGATACACATACATCTACGGCACCGAGGGCGAGATCTACGCAGATTCGAAGACCATCACGATCGAGGATTTCCGGACGGGTGAGACGATCACTCACAAGCCCAAATTGGAAAGCCTCGGCCACGGTGGCGGCGACCACGGCCTGACGAGGCAGTTCGTGCTCGCTGTCGACAGGGTCAAGAACGGCGGGTGGAGGGCAGAAGACGCCCAGCGCGAGTTCATCGGATGTGGCCTGGAGGAGATTATTCGCAGTCACGCAATGGTGTTCGCTGCCGAGGAGGCGAGGAGGGATAGGAAGACCGTTGATTGGAAGGCTTGGTGGGATAAGCACGTTGGCACAATATAGCTTTCCCTCTCTCTGGGTTTGTGGCGCATAGATTCCGCGGAAAATGCGCGGGGCGGGTATTGATGGTCGCATTATACGACATCCCGCCGTGACGTTGGATGCTGAGTCCCGTACCATAAGAGGCACGAGCGGGAGGTAGCGAATTCTACATACGCAGGATATGATAGTACTTAGACAACAGTCTTCAATCCCGAGGTCTTTAGTAATATTTCTGGTATTGAATCCCCCAAGCCGTACAGAGTATATGCCGCTCAATGTGGTATAATCATCAGTCGAGTACCTACCTATCCGTTTCTAGCCGTTTGCAGCACAAACAACCAATCAAATGTGTCAAATGTGTAATTCAGTGCCCCCTATACCACCTGGGCAGCTAACTTCAGGGCCGTGTGCCGCGAGGTTGCAGGCCATCTACGTAGTACGTAGTAGATGGTCCCGAAGGATGATGGCGCTAAACTTAATCTTATTCCATTTGTCACCCCCGCGGTTTAATTACGCAGGGAGCGATGGGAATGCAAACGCCTACAGTACTGTAATTCATAAGGTGTTACACGTATTTCCCTGCCGGTCACGTCACAGCTCTACTCAAGTTGGCAGGTAGCAATAAATCAGGCCCGCCTTTCGCCGACCTATTTTAGGCACTCCTATTCATGTGTTACCGGTGCTTGGTAGGTTCCTTAGTCCTGCATTAGGTATACTATGAGTACTATATTAGGTGGTGATCAGTACGGCCCTTTCACAGACGTCAACTGATCACCGCTGCAATGCGTAGATGAATCATCTCTTTTACCCCAGAATCTGCCCAGAAACAAGATACAGTACTAGTCCTCGAGCCGGCCGTCGTTTACGGGCCGAATCCACCCTCGGGCCTTTGCCGGTGCGTGGCGATGTACCTAGTATTAGTGCTCTGCCCCAACCCCGACTATCCCTTTGATTACCGTTTCGGTACTAACCCCGTTTGAGACCCGATGGGTCTCCACACTACCCCTATTAATAGGAGTGACATCATTACACTAGATAAAGTCGTGTAGCACTTTGTAACAATAGTTATTGCAGTAACATCTAGCACGGGCAAAATTAGGTGTAAATTAATGTATCTATAAAATAGGCGATTTTATTGGCTTAAACCCTAGTTATCGGTGTATTCCAGGATGTTGGTGCCGAAACGGTAATTAAAGGGATACGTAGATGGTCTTCACTATCGCCTACAACGGGCCAAAGTTATGCCAACACTTCTCAAAACTACACGGAAGCCGACTTTCGAATTGGACGATTCCGGAACCCTATTTCAGCAAGCTGTCTTATGATGATTTTGGTTCATACTCTCAGGATGGCAGCCGGCTGCGCCTGGCGACAACACACCTCTAGAACCTTGGTTCTATTTTTGTTCTTACACACATGAAGCTTCACCATCACTACCAAGTTAGACGGGCCCCGCGTTGAATACGAACGGCACACGTAAGTAGGATATGCGCCATTCTCCACGCAGTCCAGATTATTATTATTAGCTTGAAACGAGAAACAGCTCACCGTCTACCTTCCGTATTAGGAAACTAAGTGCTCCTAAATATGGTGAATTGCCATCAACTTTGTAAATAAAAAGGCCTTCGCCGGCCATGATCTTTGTACGTAGTAGAATCAAGTAGAATCAAGTCGGTCCACGCAGCTCAGTCTACTCATAAAAATGAAGTCGGTGCTCGCCTTGTCAGCTCTCCTGCCCCTGGCCTGGGCCCAGGACCTCTGCAGCCAATACAGCTATTACGCTTCTAATGGCTACTACTTTAACAACAACGCCTGGGGCCAGTCCGCTGGGACTGGCAGCCAGTGCACGCATGTCGACAAGCTCTTGAACCCGGGCGTCCAATGGCACTCGGAGTGGAGCTGGTCTGGCGGCGACAATAACGTCAAGTCCTACCCTTACTCCGGACGCGTGCTGTCGACCCAGAAAAAGATCAGCGACATCGGCAGCATACAGACCAAGGCGGAGTGGCAATACACCGGAAGCAACATCCGTGCCGACATCGCGTACGATCTATTCACGGCGGCAGACCCGAACCACTCTACCAGCAGTGGCGACTACGAGCTCATGGTCTGGTAAGAATGGCCCGTTTACCTTTATTCAAATTTATGGGCTTTGAATAGTTAACGCTGATGTGAACCTCGTAGGCTAGGGAGAAAGGGTGGTGTCCAGCCTATCGGTAAGTCCACCGGAAACGTCACCGTCAACGGACAAACCTGGGACTTGTGGATTGGGTACAACGGGGCCACGAAGGTTTTCAGCTTTGTAGCGCCGAGCGAGATCACCACCTTTGAGGAGAGCCTGAAACCCTTCTTCGACCACATCACCACCACACAGGGTTTCCCGGCTTCGTCGCAGTATCTTATCAGTATGTTTTATTTCCTTTCCCCTGTCCGCCTCC